GGGGGTGGGGGTGAGAATATTGACCAAGTGGGGAGGGGACAGTACTCAGGGTAAGGGGCAGTGGAGAGATGTGGTTGGTGAGAGGTTGGTGGTGAGTGAGGAGAAAGCACACCAGCCCACAACAAACATCTCCCATTCTTACTACAATCAAACAAGCTTAGCAAACCATGAAATCCACCCAACAAGGGAAGTCAGGGTTTGAGTTTAAATAAAGAAAAGCACATTGGCGAAATAACGGTCATTTAGCATAGGGGGAACCAAACTCACATACATTCATACCACGCTTACACAACCTTGCATACATATGGACACCTCCTTACCCATCTTCGCACATTCACACACATGCACACACCAACATGCATACACATACTCTCACATACACACCGAAAACTCTTTCATTCAAACATTCACATATTCACACACGCACTCAAACAAAAACAAACACATCTCTTCCCTGATTTACCTGAGTGAACATTCTCTATGACCTCCTCCTCTTTCCCTGACACAGCGTCCCAGAAAGCGATACTGTTCTCAGAAGCCATGGCCGCCGTCCGGCCATCAGGAGACAGGGCTATAGACTTGCAGGGGAAGGACAGGGTGCCTGTGAACAACAGCTTCGGATCCTGACCCATGCTGTACTGGACTGAAAAATAAAAAAAAGTGGAAAAAGAGATATACATCAAGAGAAAAGTGATTATATCTCAATTTTTTTTTTTTAAGAGCTGCTTTTTCTGCATAGAAAACAGCTATAAACATGATACAGAGGAAGGAGAGCGTGCATGTAAACAACAACTTAGTTTAAGGGTTAAAATTTGTTTTTTAATAAGCATTTCACAGCACTAGTAACACACAATAAGGCCATATAAGTGCCCAACATTAGAAGTCTTACAAGAAAGTAACAAACACAAAAAAACCAAAACAAGAAGGATGAGAGATAAGGACGATAGATGTTGGACAGGAAAGAAGGAGCAAACCACACCAGAGCACCCTCCAACCATCCATTAGGGTTAGATAATATATACATCACGAGAAAAGAGATTTTACCTAAAACTAAAACCAGGTTGTTTTTTCAGCATAGCAAACAGCTATAGACGTACAGGGGAGGGACAGAATGCATATATGTAAACAACAGTTAACGAAGGGATCCTGACCCATACCGTACTGGATTCATGGGATGGGGGGGACACAAAAATAGGTGAAAGATACAACATGGGAAAAGCAATTTAAAGATTGTTTTGCAGTATTGCAAACAGCGACAGATGTGAAAAAGGTTAACAGAGGTAAGAATACAACCAGCAAAAAGCAAAAAAAAAAATTTCAACAGCAAAGAAAAAGGCTGCTTTGTCATGGAGGAACCAGTAACAATAATATTTTCTAAAGAAAATGATTTTCGTCTTAGAAGTAAACAAAGCAAGTCAAAACAATACTGCCATAAGCAGACAACAAAGCGCCTTTTTTCATTTTCGCACCAAATTATTTTTAATTTGTAAAATCTTAAGCCTGATCAGTTGGGTAAAAAAATCAAAGTGAAATTGGGACAAGTTTTTTTTACCAAATTGGAATTCAAATTTCAGGAGAACTTTACTTTTAAATGGTTACGCTAGTAAAAAAAACACATCTTTTTCTCGAAACTGCTGTGAATAAAAATAGTCTTTCTGTCAGCTTACAGCAGCAGAACAGTCTCAATCGTCATTCCAGTAACAAAACTTTAGTGAAAAACATTTTAAACAAATTTTACTTTAAAATAATGTCAAAAGTCTCATCTCTGAGCAGACACCAAATCAGGACTCCTTACAGTTGGATGTAGTAGTTACTGTACATAAACATGTGTATTAAAGAAGAAAAAACCCACAAAAAAAACTAACCCC